ATGAGACAGTTTCAAATCCTGGTTTGCTAACTCTGAAAACTTCAGCAATGCCTAAGTTTCCTTATCAGTTAAATGTATGTTTCTCCCTTACAAAGTGATGGCAGAAGAGTTGTCTTGTTCCTCCTTAGTAAGAAAATATCACTTTATACTTAACCTGAAAGACAAGCTACCTGACACTTTCATAATCATACCCCAGTGATGATGAGCCTTCTACAAACAGTGAAGACAGCTGCTAAAGTAGCAGGTATTCAACAACCCTGTGCTTAGCATTTTCAGGAAATATTATTCAGTGTAGCTTTCCTCTTTTCTTTTTTCTTTCTTCCTCCTGACAGCATTTATTTATGTAGCTTTGGCGCTCCTGGAACTAGCTCTATAGACCAGGCTGGCTTCAAACTCACAGAGATTCACCTGCCTCTGCCTCCCAAGTGCTGGGATTGAAGGCTTGTGCCACCCCTGCCCAGTCTAGCTTTCTTAGGTTGCACACACATTCTCCTTAAGAAAAGATCTGTGACTATGTAATATACACTTTCATCATGCTTTTCCATTGCATTAGCAAGGATGTTTGTTAGGTTAAAATACAGTGAAAAGTATTAATAAGAGAAACTGTATGTACGTCTACTTAATATAATCAATTCAAGCATTACAGAAAATCAAAGAAATTTAATAAGCATGTAGGTTTCAATTTATGTAACAACTTCCTACTATTACTTGGGTGGAAGTCTTTTGGGAGGAAGGTGTGGTATACACACCTGTGTTTGGTGGAATGCATGCATGCATAAGCAAGTGAAAGTCAGAGGAGGATTTAGGGTATCTTCTATTGTTCTCCATCTTATATTCTGAGAAAAGGTCTCTCACTTAACCAGACACATGCTGTCTGCGAAGCAGGCTAACAGGTTCAGCTAGTTCCTGGGATCTGCTGGTCTTCATCTCCCAACTCTACGGTTACAGACACATGAAGCCATGCAGGGAATATATGTGGGTGCTAGAGATTTGTATTCTTATTCTCATTGTAAGAACTCTTGCTAACTGAGCCCCCTGGAAGGAGTCTTTTTCAATGGCTGGTTTAAAAATCATTTCTTTATTATTGTGTATGTTATGGAGGATGGAAGGGAAGCACGCATGTCACAACATACATGTGGAGACCACAAGATAACTTCATAGTCAGTTAATTTCTGCAAAGTTTAAAGTTCTGGGAATTGAACTCAAGTGGTGAGGCCTATGTGTCAAGCTCTTTACTACTTGGCCATCTCAACAACCCACTTGGTCTTTGTTGTTGTTTGTTGTAATTGGCACTAGAAGATTATTTAGGCCAAAGTACATGCACTATAAATAGTCTCCATAACAGAAATATTTTGGAAATCTTTTGCTACTACTACTACGATTATTATACTGCCTATTTTTCTCTAAATTTCTTACACAAAATAACATAATTAAATAAAAGGATACCTGATTGACATCTCGCCTCTTCCAGCTTTCCAATCTCCATTCTGAAAGACAGACATAAAACATGATGTTAAGATTTTAGTAAGAACAAAATGTCTTATTTGTTTCAGGAGTGCTGGACAGTCCATGTAAAGGATAAGTACTGGAAACCTCTCTCTCAAATCAAATATGAAAAAAAGGGGTTTTGAAAAGCAGAGGAATGTTTCTAAAGGATTTTTAAAAAGAAAAACAGACAACTAAATCTTCTAGTATTTTCTGTGATTTATTAAACTTTTAACATGTTCATTTGGATACACAATGTTCAAAACACCGAAGGAGACCACAAGGGAAGTACAAGCCCAATGCTGACTGTCAGCAAGGCTGCTACTCACCATAGCTGTGTCAGCTACTGAGGGGAGACTGACAGCACGACAGCCAATATACTCTCCCTCCCTTTTCTGAGTTTGACAGCTGTTAGCAAAGTATTTAAAACTGTAGCTGTGATGCTCCTATGATCATTGCACCCACATTTTAAAAACAGCATATTAAGTTACTATTAAAATTCCTTTCATGGGGTAGGTCTATTTTTAGCTTTTTGAAGAACCTCACATTGATTTCCATAGTGATTGTACCAGTTTGCATAAGCTATTTACTGTGCTAAGTAAGTGAACAGCCAGCACTGAGTGTTTCCTCTCCCCACATCACCAGTATTTGTTGGAGCTTAATACGTCTGAGAGTTAAGATGGAATCTCAGAGAACTCTGACTTGCATTGCCCTAATGCCTAAGTATTTGAACTTTAAAAAAAAAAAAATTATTTTGCAGCCATTTGTATTTTATCTTTTGAGAACTTTCTGTTCATGTCCCAATCTTTGTTTTGATGTTGTTTAGTTTTTGAGGTCTTTATATAGTTACTAATTCTCTGTCATATATATAATTGGCAATGGTGTCCTTTGCTGTACAGAGATTTAGTTTCATATGGTCCCACTTACCAGTAGTTGGTCTTAATGCTTCCATTACTAGACTCCTTTCCTGTGCCTACAGTTCAAGCCTATTACCTCCCTTCCATCAGATTCAGGGTATCACATCTCATGTTGAAGCCCTTCCCACACTGCTTTTGGTCATGGTGTTTACCACAGCAATATAAAGTAACTAGTACAGCACTTACTCATAAAAATACAACCACTGTTTATATTTTAATCTCACAGCACTTACTCATAACATATAACTTTTGTTTATAATAGCTTTTATCTCCTACTAGGCAGGAGTTTCCATGGCATAAATGAGTGCAAACATATATGTACTTTATAGGCCACTAGGACATAATGTCATCCTCTTCAAAGTTCATGTTTGAAACTGGCTCAATTGAGTTTCAAAAAAAAAGTCTTATGTTTTAAGCAAGCCTCCTTTCTCCACTGAAAAAATTAGTCAATTCAAGCCAAATTAAAATACATAAAGGCAGCTTTCTTAGGGATATCTCTCAGACAGGTTCACTGATCTCACTGATCTCACAGGAGAAGGTCAGGGAAATCAGCATGCAGACATGCAGACAGGGAGACAAGAAAGGGAAAGCACCAGAGAAAACACAATGACAGAGACGAAAAATGCAGATGGGGAGTGAAGTTTGGGGGTGGAAAATGTCTAGATTATAAAGTGAAAAATTATTAGGGGGGAAGCCCTGGCCCTGGGATGGAAAGTTCAGTAGGGACTAAGGGAGAACCTGAAGGCCAGGTCACTTGGTCAGGTACCTCTGCCACTTGTCCTGGGTCTGAAGCCCCATACCTACTAGTAAGTTTATGATTTTGTACTGAGAAGCATTCGTACAATCCTGGGCTATACATGAACCACAAGCTGGATGCCCCTATTCTAGCACTAAGATCTGTGGAAGCAACCACCTACCCCAAAGGCAGCATAGTAAATGATAGATAGATAGATAGATAGATAGATAGATAGATAGATAGATAGATAGATAGATAGATAGACAAGCTAAGTTCAATTCATTTGTGTATAAATAAGTCTGAAAGAATCATAACAGTTTACTACTGCTATATTCTGGCCCCTTGACAAATACTTCCTCTGTAGGCCTGGGACCTGGCCTGGTATTCTCCGCCAGCACTGACAATATATCAACAACCTAATGAAATACGCACCAGGACTTACATGAAGACATTGCTGTTCTGTCTTTATCTGGGTCCAGACAGAAAATAACTTGGTATTACATCTAACTTTTCATCTAAGAAATATATATATATATATATTACAATCTCATAATTAATAGTATAATTCTTTTTGCTTAAGTTGGAAAATTTCATCAATTTTATAATTTACCTCTAAGAAACTGTGCATTCTTTCCTATTTATTTTATTATTCACTTCTCAATTTATAAAAAAATTTAATAAAAATGACATTAAAACTGCCAACTCCTAGACATTGAGAAAGACGAAAATAGCTACTATCGTGGTATATTGTGAAAAGTTCAATAAATGGTTCTAGAAGTGGGGGAGAAACTATCTCCTTGATTTAAAGAATTTGGATATAACAGTAACAAAAATAACAACACAAACATTAAAATGAGAGAAATGAGAGATTGTTAACATTCTCAAGTGATTTAAAAGAAAAAAAATCTGACAGGAACCTACTATAGAGTGTCCCCTGAAGAATCCACCCAACAGGGAAAAGGGAGAGAGTGTAGGCCTGGGAGGAGTTGAGGGAGGGGGCTTCAATCAGGATATATAATGAATAAATAGTGAAGAAAATAAAACTGAAAAATTCAACTTAGTTTAATTTTAGTTTTATTTTAAATGCTAGTTACATAGGCATTTGTAAGAATAAAGACAAATGTTCGTACCTTTTAAAAACTTGTCATCAAATTGCTGAGCTGATACTTTTTCAGGAAATTTGATTCCAGCTCCCCAAATAACTAAAGGAGTTAAAGTCTCTGAAGGATGACCAGCCCCGTGGGAACCTACAGTAAAGACATCAAGAGTCATCAGATAAATATATAATTACTAACAATGGTGAAATAAATCTCTAAACAATTTGTTTTAAAGAATGGGTCCATGTATAGGCTGGGAAAGTCATAGGCCCAAATGCGGAGACTACTGCTATTTTCCTAAATGGATATGATGTAACTATCAAATTGTCTTCTCAATAACTATACTGACAGAGGTAGCCAATGGCAGTTCAGTGTCCAAGTGGGTTCCATAGTAATGGGGACAGGGACTGTCCCTGACAGGAACTGATTGGCCTGCTCTTTGATCACCTGCCCCTGAGGGGGGAGCAGCCTTACCAGGCCACAGAGGAAGACAATGAAACCACTCCTGATGAGACCTGATAGCCTAGGATCAGAGGGAAGGGGAGGAGGACCTCCCTTATCAGTGGACTGGGGGAGGGGCATGAATGGAGAAGAGGAAGGGTAAGATTGGGAGGGGAGGAGGGAGCTACAGGGGGGATACAAAGTCAATAAACTGTAACTAATTAATTAATTAAAAAAATAACTATACTGATGTCCACAGAGTAGTGCTTTGGTCAACTTTATCCAAGGAAACTGCTTCTTAAAGTGAGCAGCAGTAATTGCAGTGATACACAACCGATCAAGTCATGAAAACAGGCCTAGGGATCATCACAGAAGGCGTCAGGGCCGATAGAGACAGAAAAAGTAGGGAAGACATTTTCAGGGGAATCATCTCCCAGTTGGGAGCGAGTGGTATGTGCAGGATAGCCAGGTGTACAGATTCACCATGGTTTGAAAACAAAATATTCCTCACAGGCTCACATACTAAAAACTTGATGTCCAGCTGGCAGTGATACCTTGGGAGGCTGTAGAAAACAGTAGGATATAGGGGCTAGCTGGCATAATTAGTCACCAGAGGTATGCCTTTGAGGGTAATAACGTGCCCTCATCCTTACTTCTCTATCTTTGTTTCCTATCTGCTACAAGATAAAAAATGTCTTCTGCCAAACACCCCCAGCTATATGGAGTTCTGCCCAAGCCAGTCAACTACAACGAAGCCTCTAAAACAGTCAACCAAAATAAATAATCATTCCTAAGTTTCTCTCATGTATTTTGGTCATAGCCATACACAAGTAAATGCCACAGATTCCTTTTATTCCAGCCTCACTGTAAATGGGGCAGCTAAAAGCAGTCCTTTACAAAATGGAATCCAGCTCACTGGAATTTCATCCTGTGATTCAACAGCTCAAACCTTATCTTCATGCCATATCGCTCTCTGAGTACAAACTATATTTGCCTTGGGAATCTCATAGGGAGCACAGACTTATCTAACATAAGCTCAGTTGTCCTAGGCAGGTCCTCAGCAATACATCTTAACTGGCATCACTCCCCTTGCCTTCACATATAAATTCCAGGTAAAATATCTTTTCTTATAGAAAAGAGTGAAGAAAATTTAAAAATACTTGTTTATTTTTTCTACTTTCTCATTTGTAAATTTATAATTTCTCATTTGTAAAATTACAATTAGGAAAAAAAAGCCCTTTTTAAAGAAGGCTAGACATTTTCAACATACAATTTTGTGCTGTCACCTGATTTTCTGAACATAATACTTGCAAACTGCAACTGCCCCTACTTTCACTAAGGCTGCAATGAAAGGTTAAGCTAGACAGACTAACCCCAGTCTGTCATTCCATGGTCAGAGGTAAAGATAAAAGTTGTTTTCCCATCATCTCCATAAAAATGCTTGAATATTGATACAATTTCCTTCACTCCATCATCAACTTTTTTAATATTGTCCTTATATTCCCTGTTTACAAAGAAACAAAACAAGTTAAATTAATTTAGAGAAATCAAATTTATTCAAGAACTGAAGAAATATATTAAGATTTAATCTTCACTATTTTAAAATCAAGACTAATGTTTTCTCCTCTAATGAATTTTAAAAATTGAAATACTTTTCACAGACCTTTTTAAAAGTACTGATTAGTAAATATATTTTAGTGAACACCTTTTAGATCCTAAATAGGCTAATGAAGACTTTCACATTTGTTTCCCTTAAGGTCAGCACTCTTCTGCTGACCTTACTTAGTAGGATACTACTAATACTACAGTACAGAATACTTACATCCCATAAAGTACTTATGATTTATATCTACTGTGATATTGAGAACAAATCATACTCAAGCTCCTCATATAGCTGAACAAAGCCAGTTTAATATAAATATATTCCACTAATGGAAACAGTGCATCATATTAAACTAGGGGAATATAAGATATTCATGCTGGTAATTAAACCAGCAGACATTAGAGTTAATATAAAACAAATTCCAAAAAAGGATAAAAGTTTAAGTGATTTCATCTTTCTTATGGTCTGCAAAAGCTAAGAATACCACTAAAGAATTAATAAACAACACTTTATGCAATCATGGATACATGCTGATTAAATAAATACCCAAAAGAATTATATCTTCTGTTATAAAAATCCATACCATAAAATGTTTGTGCTTTTGAGATTTACTAGAAATACTCCCAAAATGTGGGTATGGTACTTTAGACATTTTTTTTTCTCTGCTTTGATAAATGAAGAATATGAAATATGTGTAAGAACTATTTCACTTAATTTAATGTGCAATATAGCCAAAACACAGGTGATTTTTAATCAGTATAAAATCATATAGTATATAATTGAAAACATTACACAGGATAAGTTACATGAAGAATTAGTTTTGTTGTCATAATTACAAAAAAAAAATTCATACTACACCAAAATTTGAAGCAAAATAGCTATTTCCCACAAGATCAAACAAAACACATCATTAAAATTACCTTGATGATGGTCGATGGGCATGTCCATTTGTATCTATTCCTAATAAATGTAAGAAAAAAACTACTTTTTCTTCATTTACTTTTGAGAATAAAGACTGGTTATTCCTCGCTGCATCAAAGAAGCCCTACATGTAACAAATCAGGTGAAAATTAGTTCTTTTATCAATTTATAAGTAAATATAAAATCTTATTTGCTTCATTTTGTCATCAAAATATACAAACACAAAAATCTTTATCAATTCAGATATTTCTGTCCAAAAATAATCACTGAGCTACTTTGATATAATTAGGCAAGATAATTATAGAAAAAGGAACTTAATATTATATAATTGTTACCACAAATCTATTGTAACTTTAAAAAACTGAAGAAATACTTTTTAAGAGGCAAATGTTAAACAGTAGTGGTGGGAACAGTTCAAGAACACTTATTATATTTAACTATCCTTGGAAATGGAACATTTTTCATCATCCTGTCCATGGCCATTCTAGTCAAACTGTGACATCCCACTCAGGTTGTGAGAACTAGGACCTGCTCTTGGTGTGGTGTGGGCGAGAAACAGACAAACAAAGCACAGTTCAGATTATGTCAGAATAACAAACTGGATCCATAAGCCCTGCAGGCATCCATAATTCTCCCACTCACATTCAGGAGCATGTATGTAAGAGTGCTTTAAAGTTATTTTAAATAAACAGATTATGCTAACATATGTCATTACTGTTTACATAACTGTTTAAATGTTATAATAGGAAGACTATTTTTGAAAAATAATTTTTTAAAGTACTTAAAAGTATAAGTGGAAAAATTAAGAGAAATTATTCAAGGATAAAACTATCCATCACCTTTCATTTATATTCTATTTAACTTCAGTAAAATTGTACTTTTTTCAATGACTATCAAAAACTTTAACCATTGACACAAGATTTGGGAAGCTATGAAATACTAATCAGGTACAGCTCAACGTATAATTTCTTTTAAAATAGCACAGTACAACACTGAAAGCTCCAGTTTATAAAGGCAGCAAACCTGAGATGAGTTCACTCAGAAATAAATTTTCAGGCCTTTAAATAACAATGTATTTAGTTATAAACCACAGCATTGCAAATACCTCCCCAGGTGTGTGGCACTCCCATGTAAAACAGTACTCGGACACTGAAGCAAGAAGGCCCAGAACAATGGCCAGCCTGGGCTGCATAACAAGACCCTCTTTCAAAATGCAGCAAAACAACACGCACCTTAACTTTATCAAAAACCCAGGTATCCAGTTTTGTGGCATCATCAGCACCAAAATCCTCTCTTTGAGCATCATAACTATATGTATAAACATGGTCACCACTAGCACCTGAAAAAGAAATTTGAGAAAAACATTTTAAAAAAACAACAACTAAAACTTTTAAGCTATCATAAAATGTGAAACAATCATTTCACATATTTTTATTGTTGTTTTGAGATCATCTTGCTGTATTGTCCATGCTGGTTTTGAATAATGGCTTCAAATTATTCTTAAGCTTCTTGAGTTCTAAGATTACAGGCACACACCCATCATACCTGGATCTACTTCAAGAATGTTACAAGTAGCCAGAATTTATTACAAAACGCTTTATGATAGAGAAAAGAAAGATAGGCAAAATAATTAATAATTACTTTATGTGTCATAAGTCATGTTACGTACATCAACATATTCTTTTTGTTCTCCAAATAACATAGTTAACTTGCCAAAGTCAAAATCCTAATATGCAATAAGATAAAAATAAGTTCTAAAGTTTGTTTCTATTTAAATGTGTGCCTCTTAAGAGATTGTAATATAAAATAGATGAAGATGACTAGCATAATGCTTCCTAAAAAGCAAATTCAAACATTTTACTTGTCTTAAAATTATATGTATTTGTCACAACACAAGGAAATAAAGAGCTTGGAATTTTAATGTGTGACTGTAATCCCAGAACTAGGAAGTGGAGACAAGAAAATCACAAGTTTGAAGCCTGGCAGACCCTGTCTCAAAGCAAAGATTAGGGTAAGTAGGTCAAAAGCTCTTTAGTGCCAAATAAAGAGGTGGACAAGTATGTTAATCCTATGAATCTATAAGAGTTGTATTAAGAATCTATAATCAATTTCTGGGATGGATAAGCTTTCCCACAAGTCATCATAAAGTAATGACATCTACAGCATTAACTCAGCTCTAGAGAAGCTCTGACTCTGCTCGGCCATTCTACTTCCCACATCCCAAATGCAGACACCTGAAGCCTTTGGTTATTTACCTAGCATACAAAAGGGCACATTCCTATCAGGTTGTGTCTCATTCAAGCATCACTCCTGTCTTGTCAGCTGTGACCAGAAGTAGAAAGATTAGTCTGGTAAACCACAGTAACTTAATCAGCCCACAGTGCTTCCTAAAGAATGAAATATATAAATAACAGTGGCACAGCCATATCTAATGGGAACAATGAAAACCATAAAGCCAGCACAGCTGCTTGACAACGATCCAGTAAAGCTGAGCCCAGTGATGCAATCAGTGTGGTGCAATGTCACACTATTTGGTCGTGATCTCTATGTGTCTCATGCTTAGGGGTCTTTTATTATTTGTAAAACTTAGGGATATTGTACTGATAGAAATTTTCTTATGAGTCATTTATGCCCTCTACCAGGAGTACTGATTCTAAGCTTCCCCTGGAATATCCTAACTCTATTACTCCTCCTCCGCTTTTAGGGAGATACCCTTATCTGGCCCTACCTGAAGGTCTTCCTTAAGCCCTGGAGGTTGTGAGTCAAGTAAATATGCCAGAGACCTCCTTATATGGCTCTGACTCAAAGATACTCTTGGCACATCTGTCCCTGCACTTACTTAGGAACAAGATAATCAAAACAATGTAAACTGTAAAAGGTAGGCTGTAATGTAATGTAAATTTACATTACCAATGTAAATTTGGTAGGCTGCAGAAGTTGGCAGCAGATCAAATTAAAAGCCTCTTTATAATATTGATAAAGAATGGTGTAGATAAATGATAAAAGAATAAAGTATTAAGACATCCCTTTTTTAGAAAAAGTAAAATCATACAGGGCCACTATAGTGCTATATGACCAAGAAACAAAAAGTAAGTTATATAAGCCTATAATATATAAATGCTGTATTACTGCAGAAAATAAATAATAAACTGTAGTAGTCTGCTCTGAAGACTTTTCTTGGGCCTAATGACAATTAGCAGTCTATCAAAAGTTAATAATATACTGCTTGCAACACAACAGTCTGTCCAGGTTGGCTTGGATGTTTTCTCTCTGTCTAGTGCCCTTGAAAACTCAAGAGCTACCAGGCTGAGATCAGGCTGTCATGCTTTGGCAAAATATGCCCTTGAAACTGTAATATTGTTAAAAGATGTGCTGTGGGATTGACGAGGGAAATTGATTGTAAAAGATAATTCTGTTCTATCATGGTTTATCAATAATGACTAAACTTATGACCAAGCAGAGGTTAAGCACGTGTCCAGGAACAAAAATGGTGTGTTCTGGAACAACACGCATCTATCCCTGCCTACTAATATTCAAGTACTCAGGCTGCCAGTCAGTTGGGATGTAAAACTCCTCCCAATCACTGTGACTGACTTATTCCTCCCTCGCCACTCTTGCATCCACCCTTCCTCAGGTCCTGACCTCACCTGGGGCTGGACACTGGCATAACAGTGTTATATAGCAATATTTAAAATAGAACAAAGTAGAAATCCTGTCTTTTAAACTGACAATCAAGCCCACTGTAAAACATGTTTCTATTTTCACAGATGATAAACACCTCTAAAAGTGAATAAATACAACATATATGCGTGAAGATGGCTAAGAAGGCAGAGGCCCTTGCTACTAGCAATCTGAATTATATCCCTGGGATCTACATGGCTGAAGGAAAGAACAGACTCCTATAGGTTGCTTCTGACTTTTTGATGAGGACCATGTGTACCATGAGCACACAAAATATATGGCTCTGGCTGGCCTAGAACTCACCATGTAGGACAGGCTGGCCTCAAGAGAGATCTGCTTGTCTCTGCTTCCAGAGTGCTGGGATTAAAAGTATGCACCAGCATGCCTAGCTAAATAATTTTTTTTTTTTTTTTTTTTTTTTTAGATAAAGAATAAAAAGCCAGGGAATACAGCGTGGTTGAGTAGTAGATATGCCTAACATAGAGAATCCAATCTTCAATATTGCAAGAATAAAAGCATTTATTTTTTACTTATTTGCTACCTTATTTACTTATTTACTTATTTGCTACATTGATACAACCAATGTTTCTTACCTTTGGCAAACATAGGCAAGATATCTGGACTTCCCCAGCTCCATGTGTACTTGCTTTCATTAAAAAGAGAGTCAAATTCTACAGGATTTTCTTTCCATCCTTTAGGTAATGGAGAAAAGAAGCAATAATATAATAAGTACATAGCAAAATAAGGCCTGAAAGATGTGTTCTTCAAATAGCAATTGACGACAACACATAAAATTCAGATTTCGTTAGGCGTTTTGTCTGCCTATCTTAAAATAAAATCACTTGTTAGTAAAATAATCACTTTCAAATTCTTGATTATAATGTATAACAAAACAACATTTCCATTCATACATACTTTTTCAGTAGCACAGGATGATGACATACTGAAGTTTAATTCCAGAATCAACACCAGGATATGTTCATGTCAGTAAGCCATGCTCAAAGACTTGTCAAAAGTATCTCAAAGTGTACTCTTGGGACTGGAGACATGGCTCAGAGGTTAAACATACTTGCTGCTCTTGCAAACCCAGATGTCCTGAGTTTTGTTTCCAGCACCAACACTGGGTGGCTCACAACTCCCTGTAACTCTAGTTTCAGGGAGTTGAATGCCTATTTCTGGCTTCCATGGACAGCTTTTCATACATGATGTGTACAAACAACAGTGTATGTGCACATGCAGGCGCACACACACAACTGATGTCATGAAAAAGTGGTAGGAAAACAGTGTTTCTATAAGAAGCATTGTATCTGATAAAATTGTTTCAGAACACAACCTTTGGCTACTGCACTGACATCCTCATAAAAGCCAGCTATCAGCGCTACATGGCCAGGCCGAGACTCTGTTGGCACACGCGTGTGAGATACTCCCCAGCTGCCTTCATGCATTATAATATTCCTAAAAGACAATTGAGATGAACAGTTAACACATGCTGGCATTAAAACTCTCAAAAGGCTTTAAGAAAGATTTTTATACAAGGAATCAAACCAAAAAGTTAAATTGTAAGATGGAAAGGAATCTCAAAACCAGGTTGAGCCCAATCATATTCTGCCCACCAGTTAAATTCAGTAGCATGAATAAGCCGAAGTAATATGAACAAAGAAATCACTCCCCTACTAGAGAATCAAGAGACAAACTACAGGCTAGTGTTTCAAACCACAAAGCAGAGATGTTTGGTTACACAGAAAACACTCACATGCAAAATATTATGCTGTTAAATTTTATTTGATGTTAAAATTTATTTAAGAATGGTATATGGCTATATAAAAGAAAGGCCTTTCTTAACATATGTAGTATAGTGTTTGGTGTAGAAATGCCAGACTGTCATGTTTTCAAATTGTCCAGGGAAAAAAAATTCTACAATATGCAATCCACAGTTGTGTGTGTGAGACTTTTTTTTAAGTGGTTAAAAAAAAAAAGAAAAGAAAAGCATAGGCAGGCTGGAGACATGGCTCAGAGGTTAAGAGCACTGGCTGCTCTTGCAGAGGTCCTGAGTTCAGTTCCCAGCAAACCACATGGTGGCTCACAACCATCTATAATGAGAACTGATGTCCTCTGCTAGTATGCAGGCAGAGCACTGTATATGTAATAAATAAATAAAATAACTCTTAAAAAAAAAAAAAAGAAAAAAAAAAGGCATAGGCATGGAAGCATATAGCCTTAATCTAAGGACTTAGGAGGCAGAAACAAGCATATCTCTGAGTTTGAGGACAGCCTAGTCCAAATAGCAAGTTCCAGGCCAGTCTAGTCGGGCCTCTACAATGAGACCTTGTGTCACAAACAAACAAACAAACAAAAAAACCCTTTTCAAAAATTGTCAATTGTAAGCTAATGTTCATCCACTCATGATATAATCCGTTTCTTTTTTAAAGCAAGCTAACACTTCTAAGACACACTGCTGAGCCTACTTACCTAATAAAAGGTGCTCTAGAGTTCCCATCTTCATCTAATTCATAAAAAGTGTCTGCTCTCAGGCCATCAGCAACAAATAATACTAATCTTTTTGCTGGAGGAGGCAATGGTGTAGACTGAGGAGTCATTCCATGAACCAAAGGAGATGTAAAATAAATGTCAAAAATGGAGGCAAAGAACACAAAATGTACAAGCAATCCCAAAGCAAAAAACAGCAGCATATCCAGGATGAGCTCCCTGCAAAAGAAGCTAAAACAGAGAACAAAGTCAAGCTGGACATACCTGATAAAGATATTTCTTCCACATATCTGATGCCTTTCATACACACTGCCCAGGTGTCAGGATACCACACAACTGACAACTGGCCTTTTATTTACAATGAGAACAATAAACATTGTTTAACAACATGATAATTCTGAAATAAAATATGTGTTAAAGTACACCACAGGGATAAAAAAAAGAATTCAATTAGGATCAATAAACTCAGTTACCTACAAATAATTAAAAATGACCAAAGAAACACAGAACAAAAAGTACTAAAAATTAGATAGGCTCAGTCACAGGAAATCCTAAATAACACATCCTAAATATAGTTCAGGCCATGCTTGGTTATCCACACAACACTGTTCCTACTCTTAGATTAAATTTATTAAATTACTTAAAACGGTAAATTTCTGAGAGTTAATTTTTTTTTAACTTTGGTCATCAGTGTAGGATTTGCCTGACTCTCAAATAGCAACAAACTGAGCAGAAAACACACATTATATCCATTTTGCTGAGTTACACACAAAACGTTAAACGTCATCTGTGCTTCAGAAAATCTGTGCTCCTTAAATAAACACTTTACTTCCCTGAATCAATAAAAAGGGTTTTATATTTATTCATTGAACACAACTTTTATATCCCTAGAAAATAACACCAAGAAAACCTATCAGAGGCTTGATGAAGTTATAAATACTAAAGAAAGAAAACAAAGCAAATGGAAACATTTAAGTTAATACTGTAAGATAGTATGCCATTACATCTCAAAGATCGAAGTGACCTTAAGAATGTTTTTCAAACCAGTCTTTATTCTTTGTTGGTAAATGTGTCTACAGATTAAGAAAGAAAACACTAGATTTCTCTTACTTGAAGTAGTATTATATACATATAATGACCTTGATTTTAAAAATATGAAAGATGAGAATTATGGACACATCTTATTCTTCCTGGTCTGAAGAATCAAATATCACAAGGATGAAGACTGTCCTGTAATTAAAAAAGAAAGAAACACTAAAAATGTGTTTATCAAAGACAAACAAGTTTAAAAAAATTAAATGAACCAAACAGTTAAACTGTAAGACACGTCTTATTAATTCCAAGAGAACATAAGGTGAACAAAATATCAGGGATTCTTTAGTGATACATGCAATTTCACAATCTAATCTCTCAGTATAAAGTTTGCTTCTTTCCTAGTTTATATGATCATCAAACTACACAGTGGTCACCATCATGGATGTTATAAATATTAATAAAGGTATTACAGAAAAAAATTAGTCAGGAATCTACCATCTTCTAAGTCAGCAGTTCTTAACATGTGGGTCATGACACCTTTGGGAGTTGAATGACCTTTTCATGGGAGTTACCTAAAACCATCTGAACACACGGATATTTACACTACAATTTATAACAGTAGCAAAATTACAATTATGAAGTAGCAAAAAATAACTTTATGGTTGGGAGTCATCACAATATGAGAAATTATATTTAAAGGTCACAGCATTAGGAAGTTCAGCTTATACCTAGAAGAGAGAAAATGGGGGCAAGCCTTCCATTCCCAGTCCAGGGGTCTCAGGTAGGGACCACGAGGTGGGGAGAAGAAAGAAGAGGTAGAGAAAGGGCACAGCCATGAGGACTGACCTGATGGAGCAGAAGCAGCCCAGGCAGGACCAATATGGCAAGTAATTAGGGGCATGTGGCTAGGAAGTAGCCAGACTATCATAGAAGGCTAGAATAGGTCACTATCTGGCCAGCTGTAGTGAATTAAAGCTTGTTGAATAAATCTATACATTTCTGTCTCATTATTTGGAAGCCAGAATGGCCAATTAGAAAAGCCCTCCCAACAACAAAAGCATATATATATATATATATATATATATATATATATATATATATATATATATATATATATAT